TTCCAAGGATCCATAATGGGAATGCTGAAATTCAAAAAGTTTAGAACAGAATCAGCGAATTTCTTTGTGTCCGTACGTACGTATCATCTGTATCTCACACATACCAGCAACGATCAAGCTCAAACTTAACACGTTCATATAAAAGATCACTGGACTTGAATTTGTTGTAAACGTGGGATATATATTGAGCATAGTGGTACCTTGATGCACGTCATTTAATGTTTTGGTTCAGATTCAAATACAATAATACATATTTCTGGAATGCCAAAATCGATCAAGTTCAAACTTCAAACACAAATTGGTCATCTTATTGGACGGAATTGTGTCATGATCCAATTCAATATAACCAAATGGCAGCGATTGAAGTTTAAAAGTGCGTGGAAATCACACATTTTCATCAGACATTACGTTATGCATATATATGAACATTCGTGTCATGATTGGACGTACCTGTTTTCAAATAGCCGCAACTGACTCCAGTTAATAACATATCTGTAATATGCGTTTGACATTCAGAATAAATAATATGAATATCATGACTAATAAAGAAAAGAATCGCACAACTGACATCAGTTTGTGTCGCGCCTGTAATATAAGTGTCAATCTGAATAAATAATGCAACGATTTCAAGCCTTTGTATTTCAAGTATTCATTGATGAATTTGGTACGAATCTGTTGCATAACAAAACTATTTTCCTGCGCTCATTCAAGTCTAATACATTTCGAGAAATTGCACGTACGTATCACGGGGAATATAATGTACAGATATGTTCACATGCACTCAAATATATTCTTTCATTAAAAACATCATGTCATGACTCGTTGTATAAACTACTACTATTCTTTACATGTTCCGCAGATCGAGTTTCTAGATGAACTTCCCAAAACAACAACCAACAAAATACAACGATTTGCCTTGCGTAATAAAGAATGGAGCAGATCTAGAACGGTGAATTAAGTAGAGTCCGAATTGAACGAGGGATTCATCTGTATGTCTGGGCGTACTGTGATCGAATTAAGGAGTTGTTTTACATTCATTTTCGTTATTATATGAAATCAAATTTTGCATATAATCTTTCTGTCTGATGATGACAAGCTCGAATGTTGTGTTTAGTGTTATATCTACTAGTACCATCGTTTGCATGTGATTACGTTTAATTTCACACAATTGTACCAAAGCCAATCTATACTGTGTGAGTTCGTATTTGACCATGAATACTAGTTCTATATGTGTACATATGTGTAGTTATTTGTATATGTCAGACATTCTACATGACTAGCAACAACTTGTCACTGTGTAACCATGCTCATTACACGCCATTTTTAGTTGTTCTCTTTAGAATACTCACGGTTACGTGAAGTGTTCTTGCGATGCCGAGGTGCTTGTCGTGATCACGAGCACGAATCTTATTTTGTAATCTTGTCTGTAATTATATTCAGCTTCAAGAAGCAATATGGGAGTTATATTGAGTAATTTTAAATTCTTTTTTGAAGTTTAAATTAATAATAAGTTTAAGTTTGTAGCAATCATAGCAGTATACAATTACTGAATGACATGACCCATAGTTACCCGTACGTATAATTGACAATTGATTCGAAGTGAACATAACACTGTAATAATTAATCATAGTAATTAAGTTATATGAATAATAACACTTTTTCTCTTTTAGCATTGCATCATTTTGTGTTTTATCCATGAATAAATACGCCATGTAGTGTGTGTGTCTACCGTTAAAAACACTGATATAGTGAAGAAAAGACAAAGACGTTTCGGAGAATCTGGCTTCAAGAAAGCCAGAACACATTGGCGGGACATATTGTTGTCATGTAAACCACAAATAAAAAAACACTTTAAAATGCCTGTGCAATGCCCACCCTCACGTTTCCCATTTTAGATCTGTGTTCCACTGAAAAGGGTAGTTATTGATTTTTTGGCTGAAAATGATTACTCGTATCCAAGTAAATTTGGGATATTTCTCGTGTTGTAGCCACGCCCACCTATCATGAAACGGTCGACTGTTTCCGGATTTCCGACTCTCGCCGAA